TGATGCTTGAGCTTGCAGCTATTTGAGGGAAGCAAGTAAACTCCAAATGACTTCTCATTTAAAAGAATAAAGTAAAAGAATTAAAATTCTCAAAAATACTCTCAATTTTACAAGCATCCCTTTTAGACATTACCCTCTTTTGGAAGTTTAGGGAAGCAAAATCATTTTCTTCAGAATACATAAAAGTATATAAAGGGTCAATATCTATGTTATTTTATTGTACCCCATTTGCCCAGGTCCCATTTCTTTTTGTTTTCTTCCATGAGATCCTGGCAGATAAGTTTGTGCCTAGAAAGTGTTCATCTACAAACCAAGATTAGTATTCAATGGCATTTACACTATAAGACTAAATGTAATAGGAGAAGATGGAGTGGAAATACTTTTGCTGTATGTGTGATAAGTTTCACCTGATATCAGAAATGCCTCCCTTTCTACGGGTGTGGGTATTTTTCCCCTCCCTTCTCTTTCCTCTAAGGACTAATTAGGGAAGTAGGCTTGAAGGAATAAATTCACCATTCTGGAAGAAAGAGCCGCTGTTTACACAGTGAAAAGACCTGTTTCAGGCTAAACTCTCAAGAACAGGTAAGCATTTATTCCTTAAAATAATAAATTTCAAATCATTGGTTATAATGCAAGAACAAATGGAGAAAATACGGGTGAGATGGAATTCAACATTGTATAGGAAGAATAAATTAGGTTCAGAGGAAAAGGTGTTTGGTTTTGTTTTGGGGTTTTGGTTTGTTTTTGTTTTTTGTTTTTGGTGTAACTTTTTTACTCTTTAAATATTGATATGGGGAAAGTAAGCATGATAAAATATAAAAGTTTTTGCATTATGATATGCGCACAACTAGAGAAACAGGTAAGAGAGGAATCTAAGCGGAAAACCTATCTGAAAAAATAATTACTAGCATTGGATTGCAGTGCTTTAAAAACAAAAAACAAAACTTTCTTTTCTCATTAACGAACATCCACCATTGCATTGCAAAGGATGTATTACACCATAAAAACAGACCTTCTGTTTTATTTATTTATAAGAATAGTCTCTAAGGATAGTATCATGCTTTCATTGTCTAGTTAATATTAATAAAATATTTTAAGTGATTTCTGTGTGCTAATGGACACCTTCCCAAAGAAAGTTCAGTTTCAAAAAATTATATGAGCATGATAATTTTCCTTCACAAAGATTTCAGTTAGTGCCCTGGCTGGTGTGGCTCAGGAAACTGAGCGCTGCTCTGGGGACCACAGGGTCGTCAGGGCACGTGCCTGGGTGGCGGGCCAGGTACCCAGTTGGAAATGCGGAAGAGGCAACTGATCCATGTATCTCTTGCACAGCGATGTTTCTCTCCCTCTCTTCCTCCCTCCCTTCTTCGCCTCTCTCTAGAAATAAATAAATCTTTTTTTTAAAAAAAGACTTAAGTTACTGAATGTGTTGATAACATTTTGGCCCAAGGATTTACAAACATTTACCTCCCATTAAGGAACACAATTAATTACAGGGAATTTATAATTGAATTGTGAGCATAAGACTGACTTCCTAATATAATTCAATAATGTGTAAAAAAATATTCTCCTAACCTATGAGAGTCTCTGTATTCTGTTTGTGGTCTTTAAAAATATGTTTTCATTTAATAAAATAAATCCTTATGCAATTCATTACTGTTTGTTGAACGGATTCTCCAATGTTATTTATTCATTATAGTATCTTCTCTCTCTATGAACTGCTGGGAGAAATGTCCTTGATTTTAATGTCATCAATATATGTCACCCTGAGTCATTTGTTTGTGAGTTGAAATAGCTGCTTAGCCTAGAAAGATGTATTAAAGGCAGGTTAAGGAGAGTTTTGAATATTTAGAAGCTAGAAAAGTGGGCTTCATTTAGAGATGGTACAAGTGAAAAATCAAGCAAATGCTATAGTAAAGACCATAAGGACATGGGAAATAGAATCATGTAACTAATCATGTTTATGTCTCTTTGTGTTAGCTGCTAGAAACCTTAAAGTAAAAACTGGGGTCTCACCTCCTGCAAGTAGTTGATTCTCATTATTCATAGACCTTATACTCAATAAACTCACAGGAACAACTGTCTCAGTGAATTTTGAACCATTGCTCCTAGGGAAAATATAAGCAGGGTTAGGTTCATACAAACCTCTGGTCACAACATTTTTATCAGCATATAAACACATATTTTGTTGCATGTATATTTCTGTTTAAAGACATGTGATGTAATATATAGTTGATGTATTATCATCGAACTCAGATCAAGAGCATTATAATTCATGTCTGAAGAAAAGTTACCTAATATACATATTTTCTCCATATGATACACTATAGTTTTTTTTGTACAATTAGGAACACTAACTAGTCCTTTAGTGCTATGCTTGGGGGTCATTTTAAACAGTAAAATTACCAACAAAAAGCCAAATACACACACACACACACACACACCCCTTAGCACTAAATAGACCATATAAAGGACTTCCTTACAGTACGAGAGCTGGAACAAAAAGTCACCTTCTTCAGCTTTAGCTGAAAATGCAGGTTAATGGGAGATGCAAATTTTTCACTGCTCTGCACATGACCACAAACGACTGCAAAAGCACAGTCCCTACTGATTTGGGGGGATACAAATACATTATCAAGCAGGTGAATTTACAAATATGGAATCTACATACAAAGAGGGCCAACTCTGTGTGTAGGGCTGTCTCTATGCACTTTGCCTGCTGACCTCACCCTCAACTCCATGTTGCTTTTGTACCTCTATTTTCGCCCTTGCCTGAATCTTAATTTAAACTTAATTTTTCTGGATATATTTTACCTATATTTATAAGTGGTTTTGGATCCTTTTGAGAACAAACCAGGCAATAAATAAGCAAATCATCAACAAGTACTCAGAATTCCTCCTGTGTACTAACTACTGTGCTGTGTCTTGGGATGTGAAAAGATCTCTAGATATTGGACTAGCCCAAAAATTCATTTGTTTTTTTTTTTTCTATAAGATGGCTCTAGTAGCACTTTGTTGTCTTTAACTTCATTTGAAACAGCTTTGTTAGATTGTATTGTGACAGCTGTCATATCAACACACATTTTTTAAAAAATCAAAATTGGTGAATTATTGTGTAGACATTTTAATAGTGAAGGTGGAAGAAAATATGCAACATTTTCAACATATTATGTTTTACTATTTCAAGAAAGGTAAAAATGCAATTGAAGTGAAAAAACTATTTGGGGAGTATATGGAGGTGCTATGTATGACTAATAGAACGTGTCAAAAGTGATTTGTGAAGATGGTGCTGAGATTTCTCGCTAGACGGTGCTCCATGGCTGGGTAGACAGTTGAAGTTGATAGTGATCAAATAGAGACATTAATTGAGAACAATCAACATTCTACCACAGGGGAGATAGCCAACATACTCAAAATATCCAAATCAATAAAGTTATTAGTGAAAATTAAAAATGTCTTTTATTTTATGGAAAACAACAGACTTTTTGGCCAACCCAATACATGATCAACTTCCCTTTGAAATACTTTATTTCATTTTCTCTCAAAAGATATTGAATTAGAATAAATTAATGTGTTTAACATGAGAATCTACTACGAATTTAAAGTTTTCTTTAACAATGATATGAGTGAGTGAAAATTTAAGCAGATACAAGGGTGAAGAGATAATGGCTACACTTCACCATTCTTTGTTTCTTTGTTTCTTTTTTCAGCCTGAGCTCTGAAACCCTGATCTTTTCCAAATTTCTAATGTGGCCCAGACTCTAAGTGCTAGGGTCCAGAAGCATGATTTTCTGATGCTACCTTGATCCTTAGTTCTCTTCTGACTCCTGTAGAGGATACAAACCCCTCAGGTGTCCTGCTCATTGAACTGGAGCCTACACATCTTGGTCATCAGACATATGTCTCTTATAAGTTCAGACTCAGATAAAATATACCATGAAGTTTTACAGTGGATTTTAAGTAAGTCACAAGCAAACACTGAGCATTATGGCCATACAGAGTTTCCACACAGGGAAACCGAGCAGCTCGCTCTGTCTTGGAAATGTGTTGCAAAGGGGTAATCCACCGCCACTCAGTAGCACCAGGTTCTCAAGCCCAGCTAAATTATCTTTTTCACACTAGTGCCTGGCTGCGAAGATTAGGTGGAAAAGCTCTGCTGCACTGAATATAGGGGGGAGATTTGTTTTTTTCTTTAATTTAGTCAAGGCCTGATTGTATTGTTGGGGGGAAGTTTTCTTGGGGAAAAAAGAGCAGAAGAGATGGAGCCCCCAAATCTAGAAAATATAATTGCATCAACATGGATTAAGTTGCATACCCTATGTAGGACTTTGTTGTTGTTGTTCCTTAATTTTATCTGACTAGAATGAGCCTCAGCCTTTGCTCACACATGATTCTTCATCTTCAAGGTATTAATAGCTGTTTCTCCCCTTCCTCATAACCACCTGATACCTAAGCCACTCAAGTCTTCCATCTTTGTCCCACATTGTAAAGATCCTCCCTCTGAGCTTCATATCAGCCACTCAATAATTTAGAACGTCCATTCCTGTGTGCCAGGCCCTGTGGGAGGTGCTGGGGAGGCAGTGGAGCATAAAGTAGACATGAGTACAAGGGAGCCCTTCCTTCATGCCTCTTGCAGTCTAGTTGAAAAAGACTTCAATCAAAGAAAACAGAAATGTGCATTCACAACTGCTATTGGATCGTGCAGGAGGAGTTTAGAGTACAATGAATGTGTCTAAGAGGAAGATTTAACTCAGTACAGATACATCTTTCAGGGAGTAGATCCTTAACACTTTCCGTTTCTATGTGTTCTCTCATTCACCCATCCCAGGGCTTCCCTATCTTCCTCTTCCTTCCCTCTTCAGAGGGAGCAAAGGCATTCAGAATCACAGCCAAAGAAAAGCACCCAAGGATTTTTCCTAGGTGAAATATTAACCAGCAACAGTTAAATATGTATCTTCAAGTTTCTAATTACGTGTGGAATTGCTAGGACTCTGGAGAAGATGTTGGTGCTAAGATGTTACACGAAATTACTGACCCTGGAAAAAATGTTAAGGAGTCACTTTCCTGAATCACTCAAGGTAAGAAACTTAAAGTTTTATTTCCTTATTGTATAAATCTATTAAAATAATGTCAGACTGGTGGCTGTTTCCTGAAGTTTTCTGATGATAAGACTCCGGGGGTACTTGTTAAACACACAGCTTTCTGGTCCCCACCTGCTGGAGACGGATTCAATGGACTGTGGACATGGCCTTAATTACTGCTTATTTGACAGTTACCTTGGATGACTCCTAGGAAAATTTAGATAATGCTAGATTAGATTATTTATAAAGTAAATTCGAGATGTAAATGTATTTAAATGGCAGAAGAATATGGACTGTTGACATTGCTGGTAAGAACATGACCTATGTACAAAATGGAACAGAAGTTTAGAGGTTGTTATCATTTTTTCTGCTTATTTAAAAAATATTTTTGAAGTGTTTTCAGTGGCTTTGTTGGTCTTCTAAAAGTCCACGAGGGCTTGCTGATAACTCAGTTACTGTGGATTACATTAATCAGAGATTACAACTAAATGTAAGATTGGAAATATATTAAGCACTGAGAAAAAAATTACAGTGCACTAAAATTGTCTCTGAGGGCTGAGTTTCTTGAGCAAAGAGAGTCTGACAACAATGGTTTGCCAATGTGAGCAGCTGCTTATTATAACCTAGGAGAGAGATAATATATCAGTTTCTGAAGGCAGAGACCAGAGATCTGCATTTTTAACACCTTGGATAATTGTTATTTACACTAAAATTTGAACAAAAATGATCTAAAGGAAGTTCTAGTGCACTGTACTGGGTTGATTAAATGTAGTCATCTTGCCTTATTGAATGTGCTTAAACTATATGTGGTAGGGAAATTCAGAGTGATAATTTGGAATCATACAGCTGAAAAATTGCCAAATGGACGATCTGACCTAAATTTTCCCGCTTTAAATGCTGGCAACCAGGTGAATAAATGCGTCAACGTAAGAATCACTCAAACCTGTGGAGAACTTTTGTGAGTTTATTTGAGCCAAACTGACAATTGCCAGGAAGCAAAACCTCAACAAGTTGAGAAAATGCTCTGGGAAATGGCAATTTTGCACCTTATTTTGTGCATTACACTCAAAGGAGCAGGCGTAAGGGGATTGATTATGTGAAATCCATTGGTGATAGATTACGGAAACAGGAGAAAGCAAAGCAGGGCAACCTCTTGGACTGTATGAAAAGTAAAATGGTAGATACATTTCTTTTACACAGGTCAGTACGGGATAGTTTAACAGTGAATACTTAACACAAAAATAACAATGAGGAGATTTGTGGTCTCTGCTCTGGTGTGGTGACTGGTGCTTGTGCTCTGAGGGGTCTGGAAAAAGGGAAATTATCAATATTTTGTTATTGCAAAGGCATGTGTGTTTATCAGGTATGTTATCCCAGGAGCACAAAAACAACAGACAGGCTTAATTGAAGTGAAGACTGACCTTTGTTAGAAAAAAAATACTGGCCTAGGACATGACCGTCAACCATAAACTGCTTTCAGTTAATAAATTTTAATTTTAGACCATCCTATAGGGTTAGTTTCAGTCTCTGAATTTATAAGACTGCCCCACAGGCCTCCCCTGAGCTTATCAAGTTAACATGCGGCCTTTTTTCTTCAACAAATGGAATGAGGTGATCAGCTACATTTCTTCAACAAAATGTTTGTCTCTTTTACCAGAGAAAACTAAAAAGGTTTTGGTGACCTTAACAGGGTCATGAAAGATATTATAATCATCAAGACAAATGACAGCCCTGGCCGGTGTGGCTCAGTTGATTGGAGCCACAGGTCATACACCAAAAGGCCGGGGATTTGATTCTGGTCAGGGCAAATACCTGGGTTGCAGGTTCAATCCCCAGTCAGAGGGCATATGGAAGGCAGCCAATAGATGTTTCTCACACTGATATTTCTCTCTCTCTGTCTCCCTTCCTCTCACTCTAAAATCAATAAACATATTTTTTTAATGTAAATACACCAAAGGCTTTCTGTAATACAGATTAAAAAAAGAAAAAGACAAATGATGGGCCTTTGAGTTATAATGATTATATTTGCATAGTAGTTTAGCATACAGGGAATTTTCATTTTTTTATCCTTCCAACAACTGCATAAGATTTTTATTAGCCCATTTTGGAAATTAATAAACTGAAGCTCAAAGAAGGTGATACAGAAAGTAAAGCAGAGTCAAATCTTAGTTCCTTTGATTTCATATCTATTGCTTTTCCCACAGCAGCCTTGCTGCCAGGTGCCTAGACGTAGATTTTGAATTTTTTTTTCCTTTTTTTGTTCCTCCTACAGTGCTTGGTATTGGGCTGTGCCTGTAATGATCACTCAATAAACTGTTGTTGATTGGTCACTGGAAGCTTTATAAAATAATTACTTATTAATTCCCTATCTGTTCAAATCTTATTTTTAAAGGTTTCTAAATTCAGATTAGTTGACTTGATCTGAATAGCATGAATAGTTTTTTTAAATATCTTTCATACTATCGCATTTAAGTTTCATAAAAACTAATATTAATACCTCTGTAATATTACTATCTCTGAATAGGCAGATACTTATAATTTTATACCTGATGGTACTAAGTCGGCTCTCCAGCTCTGCATGCTAGAGTTCAGTTTTAAATCCAGGTTTTCTGATTCCAAATTGAGAGTTCTTTGAACAGTTTGTCTCTCATAAAAGTAGTTGAAATAAGAATTAAAGGAATGAAACAGGCATAAACAGACGCCTTTTTTGAATGATCTTCTCTTTTATAGCTGCTTAAGTTGGTACTCCCAGTTTCTCATTTTCCATACACTGAGTCTCTCTATCCCTGGACCTTCTTACATCAGTCATTGCACTGTTGTGTAATGTCTGGCTTTGGTTCTCTAACAATACTTTCAAAATACCCCTTCCGTTAGATTATGCCTTTAGAAAATAAAAAAGATAAAGAAAAGATAGTTTTGTTGTTCACCTCCATTCTTTGGAGTTCATGGCCATGCATTTATAATCTCTCCTCAGTGTTAAAGTAATTAAATACCTCTCCAAATTCCCTTCACAAGTTCTAACTGCTCATTTCTCAGCATCTTTACTTTCCCCTAGCCCCTTCTCATCTCCTTTCAACACTCACCCTTTGAAAAAAATATTAGAAAGGTTTGTTTTCAATCAATGCAAAATCTTTCAGTTGGTTCTAAATTCCTGACAAACATGTTGTTTTTTTTCTTTCAGAATCTGAATATTGGAAGGCGTTTTTATTTTTACCTTTTTTAAACCTTCCAATCATAATTAAGCTCCATTCTTGAATAAGGATATTTGGTTTCCTTGTATGAAATCATTTTGATAAACTTATTACTCTGTAGTATACATAAGATCAGCAGGCCCAGCTTTTAATGATTAACAGAACAAGGCAGGTAAAACAATGATGAACAAGCCAGAACAAGACAGTTTACTTGAATTCTTGGATTTTCACTAAGCGTGATCCATGTTGGTTTCAGCCAGATTAAATAGGGAAAAATACCTTTTATGAGAAGATCTGAGCGAGGTCCCAGATTGGATAAAACAAAAGAGAGTTGGAAAGTGATCTAGGCATTGAGGTGAGTGATTTGAATTAAATGATGAAGAAGGTATAATGTAGATACTAATGCCCTTGTAATTCTTGAATCATAGAAGTACCTTTTTGTATTTAGCTTCTTCTGCTCAACATTGTGATGTTGTTTTATAATCTAGAGTATGATTATGCCAAAGTTGATTTATTTTTTCACTTTTGATGGACATTTAGATTGTTTCCAGTTTTTGTCTGTTATGAAAATGCCACTATGAATGCTGGCCTACAGCTCAGCTCTCCTCGTTACCACCTCCACTTTTTCTTTTCTAGAGGCACACATAAAACATATGAAAGCAAGTTGTTGTGTAAGACAGGCATCTTTGAATCTTAGTAGAAAGAAAAATGTAAAGCCCACAGAAAATTCTAATATTACTTTAGTATTGTTTACTCAAAAAGCATTTGATGGACTACGGCAAGCACCATGGATATAATAATGAACAAGACATGTTTACAACCCTCAGAGAATACTCACAGAGTCTTCATATCATCAAATCTGAAAAGCAAGTGTTTTGGGCTTATTTGGGAGGGGGTGTTATTTCACCATCAAGTGATGTTTCATTGTAATTCAGGGCTGAAGGAGTAGATGAATTTCACAGGTTATTTTTAGATAGAATAATAAACTTCAGAAGCAGTTGAGCATGAGAATTATCTGTGAAACCTTTCAAAGATGTATAAGCCCTAAATCCATACAAGAGATTCTGATTTATTCAATAATTTATTGCTGACTTATATGCCCAGCACCCTATTGATTTAGCCTATTGATTTAGTACCTCTTACTTGGTACTATAGAATACTAAGTTTAGGGAGAGTTTTCCTAGGCTTTCACAGATTTTTTTTTTTTTACTAGTTTTCATGCACACTGATGAAATAGCAAAAGGGAAGTTTGTTTATGTGTATATTGGGAATAGATTTATAATTTCCCCTCTGGTGGCCATAATTCTATAGTACAACAAGAGATGAAAAGGGTAGTATGCAACTGCAACAGCTGCAATATCATTGCCTGTCTCTCTGGGTTCTCTGGAGCAGGTGTACGGAGCAGTGATGAACATAAATCGTGGGAATCCCTTTCAAAAGGAAGTGGTATTGGATTCATGGCCAGACTTCAAAGCTGTTATCACTCGGCGGCAGAAAGAGGTACAGTTTTGAAAGGCAAAAACATAAGAGTTGGCATCAACTAGAAAGAAAAAATTAGGTAAAGAGGATATTATAACCATCATAGCCATACACTGTAGGTTACAAAGATGCATATTTCATCATTAGCTTCTAATTTGACTGGCTTTGGAGTAAGACATATGAAAAACCTCTAGTCTAAATGCACTCAGTAAAGTGTATCTTTAGTGTTTAATAACCTCTAGAAGTATAAAGCATACATACTAGCACATACTAGTTTTTCAACTGGTTGATGATTCCTTTTGATGGATGACTTTGGTCATGAGTGTAAATATGGCAGAACATTGCAGATAGCATCTGCTCCTTTCTGCCTCTGAGACTAAAGGGAGGCTCAAGTAATCAACGATGTGCTGCCCTGACCACATTAGCAAAGTCCTGAGAGTTCTATTTAATTCTTATAGATGGGTTCACTGAATTGTACCCTTTCCATTGTTACAAATAAATAAAATCCTAGAAATCTGTGAAATAAACAAATAAAATCCTAGAAATATGTGAAATAAATGTCTTAAAACCTCCCTAATTCTAGAAAAAGTAATCAAGCAAAGACAAAAATTTCAGTGCTTTCCCTCATTGTCACTCCATCATTGTTTATAGGTGACTAATTTGGCTAATGAAAATTATCTAGACAGAGACAATTAATGGTATCTAATCTATCTAGGATTTCAGTTATCTAGAGGATATATTTATGTTTTTATGATTGTGTCTTCTGACCTAGGCTGAGACAGATAACCTGGACCACTATACTAATGCTTATGCCGTGTTCTACAAGGATGTCAGAGCTTACCAACGGCTGTTGGAAGAATGTGATGTTATCAACTGGGACCAAGTTTTTCAAATACAAGGTAAGGTCATGTGTAAGACAGTAGGTCATCATTAAATCCTTCCTGTTTCCTGTTGTTTATATCAGATAGATAGATATAACATATATTTTACATGTAAATATATTATTACATGTATTTTACACATGTGCAAAAATACATATTCATACACTATATATTTACAATTTACATGTTACAGTTTTGTAAGAACGCTTAATTTTATTTTTAATTTATTTATTTTTTCAAATACATTTGTTTCTGCCTTCCCCCCACCACTTTCCCTTGCCCCCTCCCTCCTCTCTCTCCCTCAATCCTTCCCCTTTGGTTTTGTCCATGAGTCCTTGCTATGTGTTCCTTGACTTTCCCCTTCCCTTCCTTTTCCCCCACCCACTCCTCCCTCCTTCCCTCTTGTCTCTGTTGGTTTCTTTTCCTTTCAGTGTTGCTGGTCTTATTTTCCTTGTATCTTTGTTTTGTTGGTTAGGTTCCACTTATAGGTGAGATCATATGGTATTTGTCTTTCGCCCCCTGGCTTATTTCGCTTAGCATAATGTTCTCAAGTTCCATCCATGCTGTCACGAAGGGTAGTAGTTCTTTTTTTTCTTTCTGCTGCATAGTTTTCCATTGTGTAAATGTACCATAATTTTTGATCCAATCATCTACCGATGGGCACTTAGGTTGCTTCCAATACTTGGCTATTGTAAATTGTGCTGCTATAAACATTGGGGTGCACAGAGAATGCTTAATTTTAATTCCTAATAGGCTTGGCTTTGGGGGTACGTAGAGGCCATTTAAATAGGACTGATTTTAAGTGATTTTTTTCACTGTTACTGTAATGTCAGTGAATATCAACATATTTTTCCTTATTACTCTTAACCCTTTGCTATTACAGTCTTTTAAAATAACTAAGTCTACATCAATAGGTAAACTTTTCTTCTTTCTGAAGCAAATAATTCTAGAAAGAGATAATCAGCTGATCAGCATAGTATATCCTGAAATGATTTTATAAGAAAAGAATATACGTGAACTCCAAGAAGATAATTGCATGACCGTCAATGCCAGGAGAAGAACTTTAGGCAAAGGTAGAAGCAGATTAAGAGTTTCTGATATTGAGGGAGTTCAGATGGATAGTTTCAGCCTCAGTGTGTCACTTACTCTTTCAACTTTTTATAACCTATGGAGGGTTAATAGAGGGCAAGGAAGCTACTATTTACAACTCCTCCAGTGAAATCAGTTCCTTAATCTTTGACATGAAGGCAGGAATTTCCATGTTAGAAATATAAAGTTTGATCATTTTTCTCAGCCATAAACAGCTAAAGCCCTCACACAAGGAAAACCTTGTGTCCGTGGACAGACAATGACCAATGCATATTCATAACCTGAAGACTTGGGATGTTGTATGAAATCATTTGCAAATACTCAGAAAGACCTTACAGAGGACTTCTAAACTATCTCTCACCTTCCCAGATTAACCCCAATTGTGCTGGTTAGAAGTGAGACAATGCAGAAAAATTTTCTCAACTAGTATTATATTAATGTGGAAATAAATATATCTATTCCTTGATGTGAAAAATCATGGCAGCACTTGAATGGATATTGGTGCTATATGCATGCCATCTTCAAATCACCTGAATCAATCTTTATAGAAAAAACTTCCCTGTAATTGCCGGTATTCTTTTTCCAAAAGGCTAAGCTGAGAGCCATGAGTCAGTTATAGTCATTTACATAAAGTCATTGACCCTCCCTGAAGGTTTCGTGGTGACAGATGTGAATTAGTAGCACCTGGTATAGCTGGGGCAGTAAAGGTCCTCACTGAGCATGCAAGTCAGGATAGGCATTACCCATTGCTTCTGTGGTAATAACTATTTTCTGCTTAGAATATTGAATAGATTCTAAGAGGTCATCAATTATCTTCACTATTCTTACTATGATAAACAGGGCACCTAAAAATGTGCTGTTTTCATAGCATTCCCAAATCCTTTTTAAAAGCCTATCTGCTGCCATATAAGTGTTCAATCTTTTGAACAAAAGTCTATTGACTGCCACATGTGTTCCATCCTTTGCCGCAGTGAAGGTTCTAGTCGGAGATATAGTTGGGCTGCCCGGATCGCTCAAGCATTAGGTAGTGGAGCTACTTCACTGTTGGATGTGTAGAGCAACAGCACCCTCTACACAGAAATGCCTTTTAATCTAAGGGCCGTCCATAAACAATGTTAACCCACTAACCTATTCAGAGGATCCAAACCCCTGTATTTGCCACATGAGAATAAGAAATGAAAAAGTATACAGCTAGCCTGAAAGGCCAGGCTCTCTTGCTCACTGTTAGCTGCAAGGATGAGACAGAGCTTGTCTACATGAGCACTACATCAACCTGAAAGTTTCAGGAGTCTGCCCACTGCTAACTGTCGTCCAATAAACATCCTGAATCTGGCTTATTCAGTTTGCAATTCCTCCACTTCTGAAGAGGTGAGTGGACAAAGGCAGAACAATAGGTGGAAATTCCTTTCTTCTGTGATAAAGAAAATCATTTGTTAAAAGTGGTAACATATGTGATGGACAGAAAACATGGTCACAACACTGGAGGGAGAATCAGCAAAATCAAGACTATGGAAATGCTCCCTAGCAGACAACTAGATTATTTACTTATTCATTTATTCATTCTCACCTGAGGATATGTTTATTGATTTTTAAAGAGAGAGAGAAATATCAATGTGAGATGGAAATAATGATCAGTTGCCTCCCATATGCACCCCAACCAGGGGTCAAACCTGCAGCCTTTTGGTGTACAGGACTACGCTACAACTGGCCACGGGCCAGGGCACAACTACACAACCCTATTCTTAAATGAACAAATTGAAAGAATTTGTAAAAGGGAAGGTGGGGATTAAAAGATAACCTGTAAATCAAAAGATTTACATGTCAAAAAATGGGTAAAAGCAAACTATAGTGTTTAAAGATGTACACTTGGGTAATACAACTATAAGGAAAACAAGGAAGTGATTATCATAAAAATGACAGTGGTTACTTTTATTTTTTCATATGTATTTTATTGACTATGCAACCACAGTTGTCCCATTCTTCTGTCTCCCCTTTACTCCCCTTCCCCCTGCACCACCCTTCCCCCCAGCATCCCCTCCCCTTAGTTCATGTCCATGGGTCGTACATGCAAGTTCTTTGGCTTCTCCATTTCCTATACCATTCTTAACCTCCTCCTGCCTATTTTGCACCTACTATTTATGCTGCTTATTTCCTGAACATGTTTCCTCCATTCTTCCCCTTCCCCTCCCCTCCGACCTCCATTTCTATGATCCTGTTCCTGTTCCAGTTGTTTGCTTAGTTTGTTTTTGTTTTTGTTTTTGTTCTGTTCTGTTTTAGGTTCAGTTGTTGATAGTTGTGAGTTTGCTGTCATTTTACTGTTCATAGTTTTTGATCCTCCTCTTTATCTTAGATAAGTCCCTTTAACATTTCATATAATATGGGCTTGGTGATGATGAACTTCTTTAACTTTACCTTATCTGGGAAGTACTTTATCTGCCCTTCCATTCCAAATGATAGCTTTGCTGGATAGAGTAATCCTGAGTGTAGGTCCTTGTCCTCCATGACTTTGAACACTTCCCGCCATCCCCTTCTTCCCTGCAAGATTTCCTCTGAGAAATCAGCTGATAATCTTATAGGAATTCCTCTGTAGGCAACCGTCTCATCTTCTCTTGCTGTTCCCAAGTTCGTCTCCTTATCTTTTATCCTAGGTAACTTAATTATGATGTGCCTTAGTGTGTGCTTCCTTGGGTCCAACTTCTTTGGGACACTGAGCTTCCCGGACCTCCTGGAAATCTATTTCCCTGGGCAGACTGGGGAACTACTCCTTCATTATTTTTCCAAATAAGTTTTCAATCTCTTGCTCTTCCTCTTCTCCTCTGGCACCCCTATGATTTGGATGTTGGAATGTTTAAAGTTGTCCCAGAGGTTCCCAAGCCCCTCCCCATATTTCTGAATTCTTGTTTCTTCATTCTGTTCTGGTTGAATGTTTATCTCTTCCTTCAGTTCCCAATCATTGATTTGGGTCCTAGTTTCCTTCCCTTTACTGTTGGTTCCCTGTATATTTTTCTTTATTTCAGTTTGTGTAGCCGTTACTTTTTCCTCCATTTTGTGACCATACTCAACCAATTCAGTGAGCATCCTGATTACCAGTGTTTTGAACTGTGCATCTGATAGGTTGGCTCTCTGTTCATTGCTTAGTTCTATTTTTGGAGCTTTGATCTGTTCTTTCATTTGGGCCATATTTCTTTGTCTCAGCTCACCTGTTACATTGGGAGGGGCAGAGCCTTAGGTATTCGCCAGGGCAGAGCAACCCAGGTCACTGTGTTGTGACATTGTGTTGGGAGGAAGGATGAGAGAGGGAGCAATGCTGCTTGCTCAGCCCTCAGCCGGCTCTCAGTCACTTCCTCCCCACTACCCACAGCAAATTGGGCCCTTCTGGTGCTGATTCCTGGATGAGTAGGTTTGTGTATGTTCTAGGACCCCGTGGGTCTCTCCAACAGACTCTCCTGTGAGGCTGGGAGTTTCTCCTGCCACTGTAACCCCCACAGGTTCTTACCTCCAGAGGTTTTGAGGCTTTCTTTTCCCACACTGGAACCCTGGGTTGTGCGGTCTGTCTCACTCCCCAGCTGTTCCTCCTGGTTTATCTACACGCAAATGTGGGACTGCCCATTCTGCCAGCCACCACCTTGTTGCACATTCTCTCCACCCCAGCTGCTCATCTTGCCCCTCCTACAAGTCTGGATGAATGTTTCTTTAGCTCCTTGGTTGTTGGACTTCCATACAGTTCTATTTTCTGGCAGTTCTGGTTATTTTTTGTTTATTAATTTGTTGTTGTCCTTCTTTTGGTTGTGCGAGGAGGCAAAGTGTATCTACCTATGCTCCATCTTGGCCTGAAGAGATAGTGGTTATTTTTAGAGGAGAGAGAAGTAATTGTGGTTGGGACAGTGGTAAATAAAAGATGGTTAATAAATTTCTATTTTGAGGCTTCAATAGTATATAGTTAAAATATAAAATAATTGATTAAGCTATGCAGTTTCTATTATATCTTGTAACTTAGATGTTTTTATAGAAATATTAACCTAAATTTTAGAAAGAATTAGTTCAGTCTTAGTTTATACAGCATTTCTTTCTCCTCTCATCCATGCCTTAGGTTTGCACTACCTATTTTTTTCCCCATAGATAGTCTTTTGAATTACTTAGATCTAATTCACAGCTAGCCACAGCATCCATAATTATAATAGCATTAACTTAAAGACCTTATCTTTTCTTAACTTCCTGAGGGAGGAGCCAAAGTTCAGATATCAGACTGAGTTCAACCTGACTTCCCACGCATGTATTTAGAGGAAGTGACATACTGGGGGGAGGAAACAGCTGTTAGATATGGAAGGAAGCAGGAAAATCAATTTCCAGAGGTTCAGTCCATCAGAACCCAGAGTGGGAAGGATAGAGCAGATGGGGATTTAGAGAAGCTGAGCAAGTTGTTCTAAGTAAACAGAAGCTAACCTGCTCCACTGTAGGCTGTCAGAACAGGCGATACCGTTCCTGTGTCCCACCGTAGCACAGTGCCCAGGACAGTGGTTCATATACGAGGACTGAATAAAGATTTATGGATGACATAGGGCAGCTATAATAAATGAGTGGGATTCGGGGAAGTTAACCTCTGGATAAACCTCACCAACACTAAGTTTATATGATGGTATTTCTGTAGCGAGCATTAAGCCAAGGGGCTGGAAGAGAGTCCTTAAGGACAAAATTGCATGCCAAATAAATCTAAGCTTTTTTACTCTTCCAGCTGTATGGTAGATCATAGACTTCTAGAGCTATAAGATGTCTCTTACCTAATCAGTCTGATAAGTCAGAAAAATCAAAAGTCCCACAAGAAATTCCAAATTCCTAAGGGATATTCCATCACAAAATTCCATGGAACATCATGATCTTGACAGACAATGTGATGGGAATTTGAAAATCCTGCACTAAGTATGAAAATCATATAGGGAATAAGCATAATTATTCATATGTAAATACACAATGGTTAGGATAATACATGGTGGCAAACTGGCAGTATTAATGATAAGTTTTAAAATACTGCAACATATTTCCTTTTTTGTGTTTTCCAATAAAATGTTCACAGGTTTCATTCTATCTTGCCGTATGTAGGGCTGCAGAGTGAGTTATATGATGTTTCCAAAGCCGTTGCCAACTCAAAGCAGCTGGATGTGAAGCTCACTTCCTTCAAGGCAATTCGTCTTCCTCCTCTTTCAGCTCCGCCGGACACCAGTCTCCTGTATGTAAATCTAGCTTATGCCTTTGGGGTAGGACTTACTGCTATAGAAGTACAAAGAGTGGTACCTGGAGTACTTAGTATCGTTAAGGAATAGTTAAAGTACTTTGAATTTGGGCTATTGAATCTAAATTTGAGTCTGTGTGTTTGTGTGTGTGGATGTTTGTATGTTTACTCTTTTCTGCTGTGTTTGACTGCTCGTAATTTCCTTCAAAATCGAATCAGCAATAAATGAACTCAGGAGTCCTGTATTTTCACAGTATGCACAGAAAAATCATTCCTTGGTATCCTCCTTTCCCAAGTGATTCTAAATAACTTCTATTGTCTCAGCCCAAAGTTGTTATTGTTGGTTTGTTGTTTCAGGGATGAAGGTATGTGACTGGCTCATGTGGAGCTCTTATAAGCCAGACGCTAAATGTTTTAAGTGTATTACCATTTGAACCCTTTCTACAATCCTATGGAGCAGTACCATTATCATTCCCTTTCTGTCCAGTTGAAGTAACACACAGGAGTAAATTGTACAGCCAGGAAACAAATCCTACAAAGTCTGATTCCAGAATTCAATCCTTCAAGGCATTTGTTGGTTCATATCTGCATTCTTTCCATCTTACTTTGGAGTCACAGTCCTGCCCTTTACTAATTACCTTCCCTTCTGCTTAATCTTTCTGAGCCTCAATCAATTTGTTCTTCTTGAAAATTAATCTATAATATTTTCCTTACCTGATTTTCGTAAGCAAATGAAACATAATACCTGAAAAGTTTCCACCTCAGTGAATCTTAGTTTCTTCACTTCTATGGAATATGTTGAAAGAATGAATTATTGAACAAAAGAAGACTAACCCTAAAGAATAATGGACACTTTAAGTTACCTAAAGCAACTGGACTTTCGTTTTATTTTTTCAGTTATGAAGGTTTTCAAACACACACACACACAAAAAAGGTTGAGAGAGGAGTATAACAAACCTTCCCATCACTGTATGGATTGTCCTGTTTTATCCATACCCCTAACTACTCTTTCCATCCCCTGGATTATTCTGAATGAATTTACCACACACTACTCCATTATTCTTAAACATTCTAATGTGTATCTCCAAAATACAAGGATTCTTTAAAAAATTACTGATACCTCTTGTGTGATGGGGGCCCCTGAGACCACCCACAGGCTCAGTGATTAGCTAGGAAGACTCACGGGACTCAGCATCTATAGTCATGGCTGTGACTTACTACAACGAAAGGATACAAATCAAAATCAGCAAAGGAAAAAGCTGCACAGGTAAAGTCCAAAGGAAATCAGACACCAGCTTCCCAGAGTCTTCTCCTGGTGGACTCCTACAGGACACCCTTAGCTTCCTACAATGAGTTATGTATGACAGCATGTGTTAGGATTTTTTTTTGGAGGCAGCCCCTGCTTAGAATATACCAGTTTCCTAGACTCCCAGAAGGAAAGCAGGTGTTCAGCATAAACAACACTGATTGAACAAATAGTTAGGCACAATGAGCCATTCATGTCTATTCTGAGAATGGCAGGACCACCCCAGATTCAAATTCCCAGACACCATCCAAGGGCCAACCTGGCAAACAGGACTTTGTAAAGATAGTGGCCTCCAGCCTGTTGTGTTAATGCTTTTCTGCATAACCCCTTAAAATTTTGTTAATGATATTTCCTTAAAGTAAAACAACCAGTTAGTAGTCACATTTCCCAAATTATCATAATATTTTAGCAGTTTGTTTTGAATAAGCATCTAAATAAGGTTCATACATTGCAACTGGTTACTAACTCTCTTAAGTCTCTTTCTTTCATATTTCTCACATTACTTTTTGTTAAAGAAATCAGGCTATTTGTCCTTTAGAGCTTTGCAGTTTTCCACAGTCTGTTTACTGTCATATCTGAGACATTATTTTAAAATTTCCTCTATCCCCAGTCAGGCCTTTTAAAATCAGCTTTTTACTTAAATTGCTCCCTTCTGCATAAGAAGTTAGACAACTTGCCTTTAACAAAGTCATTACCCAACTGTGCACACTCTTTATTTTGGGTACCCTGACCTTCAGATATAAGGTTGCGGTCTCTAGTGTAACTACTGAAACACTTGGCTTGCCTTAGCAATGTTTGTTTGTTTTTTTATTTTTATTGTATTTCTTCCATTAGCATTTAGTCCCTTCATACCGTCCTCCCCTCCCCACCCATAAACACCACACTGTTGTCCATGTCCATGAGTCCTTTTGCCTTTTGCCTTAGCAATGTTTTTATTTGCACTGGAATTTCTGCCTGAGGCTTCTTTGCCTTGTTTAAAGTTCATTTTCAAAAATTAAATTAAAAAATTCTATTAATTCCGTTATTGCTTGTATTTTTTTTTTTTTTGACCCTGCTTAGTCGTTAGGTGACTGTCCCAGAGCCAGAGTGCACAGGATGCCTGGAATGTGGGCTAACTCTGCAGAACCACTAATGAAAAGAAAGCACAAACTTGTGCTTTATAAGCAAGTTCACAGCCAAAATGACATTACCAGCTTCTTAGCAGTCACTGGCGATTGTCTTATCACATTGATAACTTCAAGAACTAAAGCAAATTCTTACCCATCAAGAATAAAACTTCAAGAATAAAAGCAAACTTCAAGAACTAAACCAGCACCACAGGCTTTCAACCAAGTGACCAATTTCGGTTCTTAGAAACTGCACCAATTCTTATCTTTTTCTTTATCTTAATGCCATGGGATGTTAGACATTTTACCAATCCTTTTAGGGGAAGGTCTGGGAGAATTAGCATTTTTTGAGCATGTACGAATGCCTGGGATGTTAAGCAATTTGTATTTATTCTCTGGGCATGGATGCATAAAGAAAGAAGTTCTATCCTAAACATCTTTTTTTTTTTTTTTTTTTTTTCTGTTTAACCAAGAAGAAGGTTAGAGGCCCAAGAATCTGGTCTTTTCAAAGCTTCAGAGAAGGTGTCAGCAGAATCAAGACTCTGAAGAAGTCTGAGAATTATTTTACTTGTCTTAACCTATACTGAGGACAATAAGAAACAGGCATAAAATTAGAAGGAAAGATTTAAATATGAAATGAGTATTTTGTTCTATCAGAAATAAAATCCTGAAAGACTTTGTAAATTGGCAGAGATGAAATCTAATTCACTGAAAATGTCTTCAAATTTGTTAGGTCCTATCGCTGGGATGGTCTCTCAGTTTAAATCATCTAAAAAGAGAAGTAGTTGGTGGCAGTTACATGATCCTGAGCTCATACTTCTTCTTGTGTCATTTTCTTCTAGAAAGAGTTCTCCCCCACGACTAACCCACCTGAGTGTTGCTGATGCTGACCTACTCAACCGGACATGGTCGCGGGGTGGCAACGAACAGTGTCTTCGGTACATAGCCAATCTCATCTCCTGCTTCCCCAGTGTATGTGTCCGTGATGACGAGGGAAACCCAGTTTCTTGGTCTATGACAGACCAGTTTGCCACCATGTGCCACAGCTACACCCTGCCAGAGCATCACAGAAAAGGCTACAGCCGGCTGGTATCTTTGACGCTGGCCCGGAAGCTGCAAAGCCGGGGCTTCCCCCTTCAGGGCAATGTCCTCGATGACAACACAGCTTCTATAAGCCTCCTGAAGAGCATCCATGCGGAGTTCTTGCCTTGTCGTTTCCATAGGCTCATTCTCACCCCTGTGGCTTTCTCTGGCCAAGTTCACCCTCTAGCCCAGTGAAAGGCCCGGAATTTTCCTCCTTTCCCTGAAGATACACATATTCTTTAACTGACAATAAAAAGAACATTAAAAGTGGGATCAGGAGAATCTTAGTTGTTGAAAAGGCCAGGAGAAAACATGCAGGATCAGCCTGAGAGGCCTCACCTCCCCCTGTCTCAGGTTTCCCAGTAAATAACGGAGGGACAGGGGTCACTGTGGCTGTAACAGAGGGAATTAACCTCCTTAGGGATCCACTGCAGGACGAAGTTTCTGAAGCCAGCAGTTCTCAGCATAGTGGCAGAAATGACAGCATGAGAACAAATGACTTACCATAGGAGCATGTGGCTGCAGCTTCTTTATTGCTGCCTGGCCCTCTGCACTACATTCTCACAACCGCAGCAGCTCCCTGCTACCGTCAATAGCATCTCCCTGCACCGCGCTGCTGTCTCCCCTGACGCTACTGCCTCTGACCCAACTGCTCTGCAGACATTCCTGGGTTTTTTCCATCTTTAATTACTGGCTATTCACCTCTGCCAATGATTCTAGCCTATAGTTCTTCCCTGGGAATATTCAAATGCAGTGGCTCTCACCTTTTGGAGCACTTCAGACTCACCAGCAGGGCCAGTTGCAACACAGGTGGCTGAGCCCTCCCCCACAGTCCCTCACTCAGTCAGTCTGGGGTAGGTCCTGAGAATTTGCATTTCTAACACATTCCCACTCTTAGTTGCCTTAGATGGAAGAATGAAGATATGCGAGTTTTAAATGCTAGAGATAGATGATGTCAGCATAGGACTGGACCTTACTTATCACCTATTCTAGTCTACTTGTCTGTAATTGGCTTTCTCATAGGAAACTAAGATGCTTATATAGATGTGAATGTGGATATGCAGATGATCGTATAAGCATACATATACACACATACATAAATATTTTTCTTTCATATGTTCTACATGCATTTAAACTCAGAATTTTGATAAGATAATAAACTTTAATTCTCTTGTTACATATGAAGAATTTGAAGACCAAGGAAAATAAATGACTTCAAGATTACATAGATAATCAGTGCTGGGGACTGAGCCAGAATGTTGTCATTTTGATTTCAATCTTTTTTTTTTTCCCCACTAAATCATGTATTTATTTTGTAATGGAAGTTTAAATGCTTAAAGAATTAAATCAATATAATCATTAGTCTTTATCCTTGTACTTTTTTAAAATTTGGGTTCCAATTTTGTGTGTAAAGATCCTCAGAGGTAAACATCCTCAGGCTGTGTTCTTCCATTTGCAGTAAAAGCAGGTACAAGCACAATGGCTGCATTTGTCTGGTCTAGATAAAGTTGACTTAGTCATGTAAAAAGTATTGGTTTCCTATCCCATAGAGGTTCTCAAAATTCCACCTACAAAGATAAGGGGGAATCCAAATTTTAGGTGTTTATTCTGAGGAAAGTAAAACTGGCTGAAGGAGAACATCATTTTATTAAAAAACATGACTCCTTGGGAGTAAATATATGCTTAGGTCACCGTGAGCCACTGGTTACCTGGAAACTTCTCCTTGGTGCCAGAGGGAAGAGCACCAAGTAACCAGAGTCCATGAAGCTCTTGGGAGAATATATATGGTCTAGTTTCTGCCCCAAGGATGCTCATTATCTTTGGCATTAATTAAGCATGAGTTACTCCTACCCGATATATGTCAATAATATTATAGCCTTATTTTCTTCCTAATAATAATATGCCTACCTTTTGTTTAATGTTTAACTATGTGCTGATAATTTTGCCAAGTAGAAGAGATAAATAACTTAATCCCTGTGAAAGAGAAGGTACTGTCTTATTGTGGGAATTCTGGCTCAGAGGTATTATGACTCAACCAAAAGTTATGCAGGTCTTAAAGATGGCCAAGTCATGATCAGAGCCAGGTTTGTCCGACTCTGAAGCCTGTACTGTTAGTCATTAGGCTAATTGGCCTCTTACACAGCTTGGACCTCTTTGGGGGCAATTATTCCTTTATCTCATTGCTTTTGGAATTTTTCACCTCCACCCAGACACCACCCCAGCAATGTACTTCGTATTTTGAACGATTTTTTTCCTACGAAATGGCACCTATAACTTTGTTTTTTTACCCTTCCTGATAACTATGTTAGCTATAATTGCTGATCCTGTTTCTGACCCTTTTAAAGAATGCGTGGAGCAATTTCTGAATAAGGAGAAGAAAGAGACTCAAGGAGTAGGAAGGGACTCTAGATCAACACGGGGTCTGATTTAATGCTGATTTAAGTAACTTCTTCAATATAGTATATAAACCGGTGAAGAGTTTTAAGCAAAGTATTAATCGGTTTTGAAATCAGTTTTGGAAGTCTATTGCTATAGTCTAAGCAAGAGATGATACAGGTTTAGTTTGGATGCGAATGCTGACGATGATGATAAGTGAACCGTTCACTAGAGCAACTAGGAGGAAAAGGTGTCAGAACGAGTGGCTACAGGGTATGAGAGAGAAAGGTTGAGGATGACCTTTAGTTTTCTATGTTGTGAAACCCATGGCTGGTGGTATTTTTTCACTGAGATAGGAAACACTGGAACAGTGCCATGTTTGGGGCAATTGGGAGCAGAGGAAATTCTTCAGTTTTCCGTTGTAGAGTTTTGAAATATACAAATAATAAGATCGAGTTGGATATTTGAGTCTCAGAGCAGTTGTTTACTATAGAGATGTAAATTTAGGGGTCATAGGCATATAGATGGTAGCAAAGCATGTATGTATTTGGCTGAAATTGCCTAGGACTGGAACGTGAATAGGGAAGATTTAAAATGGAGTGAAGGGGAAGGTTCCGGAATAGGAGAAGGAACAGCAGGAAGACAAGAGGAAAGCCAGGAGATGACTATGACAGAAGAAAAAGGAGAAAAACTTCAAGAAGGGGATGGTCAATAGTCTCAAATCACACTGTGGGCAAGAATATATAAGGAATGAAAAACTTCCATTGCACTATCAAATATTTTAAAGAAGCCATGTACCAAAAAGAAGCCAGAAAAGAATACACACTGCATGATTTCATACATATAAAGTTCAAAACCAGGCAAAACTAATCTACAGCCTCAGAAGTCATGAGGTAGTTACCCTTCAGGAGGGTAGTAACTAGAAGAAAGCACAAGAAGTAGCTTCTGGTTTCTGGTAGTACTCTGATTTTTGACCAGGGTAGGTTATACACATGTGTTCATTTTGCGAAAGCTCATTAAGCTATACAATTACAATTTATGCACTTTTCGGTATGTAAGTTACATGGCAATATGAAATATCCCTTAACAGAAACCAGGCCTGGAATCTGAAGTAGGGGAGATTGGATTTTGACCCAACAATTCCAAAATTTATCCTACTAGTATAAAAGCAAATATATAAATTATTTGTAAAGATTGAAAATGAACTAAATATTTTAAGTAACTGACTAAATATAGTTAAGCCAGTCAATGAAACTCTGTGGGACGCTAGAAAACTATGACTGCTGGTATGGAAAATATGTGTGTGATAATACTAGATGCAAAGTAGTGCAAAGCAATTACAGAAAAGTTATGTATCATCTGTTTAAAATTCAACTGTGAAGATAAGTAAGGAGGAAGCAGAGAGGTAAATACTTCTGAAAGCAGCCTAATGGCTCTTACTAAGAAGACAGAAGACTTTCTTAAGAGGTTCAGTAAGTACACTATTTCATGGTGTGGACATAGCTGGATGTGAGATGATGAAAGGAGTCAATACAATTAACATGCTCAGCTCTGGGTGGACGGTGACCAGGTTTTGCAGGTGTCTGATTCACTTGAAGACCCACTAAGGAGAAATATACTGGAACAACTGAGAACTGAACCTGCTCAAACTTTGGGATCAAGATAAGGCAGTGCAATTTGGAGGGATATTTATACATCCTCTAAAACAGAATCGCATCTAATATTACAAGTTTTGATTCTCTTCATTTTGACTTTGTAATCACAAATTTGTTTGGAGACTTAAATTTTGAGAAAGAACAGGAAGTCACTATGAATTAAATTTCCTTAAGTTATCCATGACAATATCTAAAGTTTTGTATCTATTGCCCCTCACTTCAGTAACACTAGGGTCAGGCAAAATTAAAACAAAGTAAAACAGCAGATGGAATAGTGGAGCATTAATTACAAAGATTATTTCTTCCTTCTAGCCCAGAATGTTCGCATTAAAATTATTTTAATGGCAATAATGAAAACAATAAGGTGTAAAATACAGAAGTTGTTTCCTACAGCTAGAATTAGCATCCTAGTTCCCTTTTAACAAGTTTCTAATAGTCCCAAGTTTCTCAATCTTGGGTAGAAACCTTGGTCCCAACTATAACACCCAATTGCTATAGCCCTTTGCTTTTTCTGACCTTGGCACTTGCTGTCCCCAAAGAATGAGACGCAAGAGGGACTCCCAGCCACTCCCAGCCTCTCCTCTTCCTTTCACCCCTCCTATCGCAGCGGTGCTGCTGTCCTGGATATTCCCAGCCCTGCTTCAACTCTGTTCACTTGTTGAACGAAGGTTTTTTTTTTTTCTGGAGTGAACTTTTTTTCACTTCCTCTTATTCCTGCCCTTGTGATTTAAAAAATTATGGCCCTGGCTAGTGTGGTTCAGTTGCCTGGGGCATCATCCCTGTAAATGGAACGTTGCCGGTTGGATTCCTGGTCAGGGCACATACCTAGGTTGTGGGTGCAGCCCTGGTCTAATCATGTATCATCCCCTGTCTGGGCACATACAGGGGCAACCAGTCAATGTTTCCCTTTCTCTCTCCCTTCCTCTCTCTCTTAAAGCAATGATCGATTCCGGCCAGGGCACATTCCTAGATTGAGTGTTCTGTCCCCAGCTGGGGCTCATACAGGAGGCAAGCAGTCAATGTTTCTCTCACATAGATGTTTCTTCTCCCTGCCCTCACTTCCTCTCTTCCTAAAATCAATAAAAACATATCCTCAGGTGAGAATTTTTAAACATATATAAAAAATTACAAATAATAACAGCTAACATCTATGTACTCCTTAAA